TGACATATACACTATACCTTTAGACCACAAATTCTCAGAGTAGTTTTATCCCCTCATGTGCCTCAGTTACCATCTGGAGGCTGATGATTTCCAAATCTCTGTCACAGACCCAGCCCCCTCTCCAAATTCAAAACCATGTACTCAGTGGTCCACTGCTACTATTACAACCTAGCAAACACTGTAGTCAGTGTTTCATATACAAGGATCTTATTAAATTTCTGTTAAAATCCTATTATGTAAGTATTATCAGTTGATAGAGAAACTGAAAGGTCAGATAACTTTTCCAAGCTAGGAAGTTTCAACATGTCTGACTCCAAAATCCATGTTGTATGTCACTTTACTATTCACCTCTGATTTGGATATTTCTTAGAGTCAGTATTCTCAAAATGTCCAAATCCATGTCAGCACCATACACCAAGGTAATGAAGCTAGAAACCTAGGTGCTGACCCAGTAGGAACTCAGTAAATGTTTACCGGAGTAGTCCTTCGTTCCCCCTCTCATTTTCCACCTTTTGCCACCAGGTGTTTTCAATACTAGGTCAAAAATATCTCCAAATATGTCCACTCTTCTCCGTTCCTCCTACTCAACCTTATTCTATGGCACCTTCATCTCTTGCTGAGACTTCTGCATCAGCTTCGTAATAGTTTTCTCTTGCTACACTTTTACTATGTTACTTCATTTTTAATAATGAAGCACAGATGATCCTTTAAAAGTGTATTGTTGTTGTTATTTGCTGTCAAGCTGATTCCAACTCACTGCAACCCGATGTGCACAGAGTAGGACTGCCCTCCACAGGTGTTTCAAGACAGATCTTTTGGAAGCAGATCACCAGGTCTTACTTCCAAGGCATCTTTGAGTGGTTTGAACCATCAACTTTTCATTGGCACTCCAGTGCTTATCCATTTGCACTGTATAAATCCTACCATCTCTCCTCCAATGTGCACTGCTGATGATTTCTCAACTTTCAAAGGATCAAATCTAAAGTTATTAATTTTGCCTACCAGCTGCCTATGACCTTGCTCCTCATGGCATAGCCAGTTTGCCCATGTTGCTTCTTTCATGTGGAACATTCTTCCTCATCCCAGGTCTCATTACCCAGTAAGACACTGTAGACTCCCAAGGTGTCCTATTCTTTTTCTCCCATTTCTTACCACAGAGCAGTGTTTCTCTTTCCTCCAATCCCAATAAAGGCTAAAATGCTAGAATCATGTCCTGTTGGCCTTTCTATTCTGGTCCCTAGTATAGACCTTGGGACAGGGTATGAACACAGTCATGTGTGTTGAAGGAACTAATCATGGATGAATCAGTTAATAACTTTAAATGACAAATGCTCTGACTACCATGGTGTTCTTTCATTACCGCAGAGAAGGACAGCAATATCCGGTCTTAGCCTGGCTGGTATTACATCAAAGGCAATTTATTCCATTCACAGGGAAAAAGGAAAATGTTAGAAAAATCATTAGGTTTAAATAATTATGCTCTGTAACTAGAGGCAGCCAGCTTTTCCTGAGTTTACTCATTTATCTATTTGGGTCACATTTCACTCACCAGAACGCTGAATCTCGAAGACCCATCATTGTCATCAAGCCCTTCATCTTTTTCCTCTCTCTTGTAACATTGACAGCAGCATAGTAAATAAATGGGGAAAAGGAAATGATGCAGAAGAAACTGTAGAAATCGGTCATAAGTCCTCTTTGACTGATGAAAGGATAGATCTTCATAATTTTTCCAGTAGCTGACATCAATTCTTCCATCACTGAATGATTTGTTGTGATCTGAAGAAATATATTAATAAATGAACCATGTATATTGCGGGATGGCATGCTCTTTTTTTTTT